CGCCCCCCCCCCCCCCCCCCGGTCAGCCAGCCAGAAGTTATTTTCTGCGGCATTCTGCTCTGAATGGCACTGTAACTGCCTGGCACTCAGGGTATGTCTGTCCTTGGAAGGGCTCCATCTGCTGGGGCATTCTCTGTGTCGGGCTGGTCATAAGCATGCTTCCTGGTATCCTTGCAGAATTGAACTTGGGAGTTTTCCATCCTCTCCCCAGGGTACCGCTACGTGATCCTGGACATCCCCCTCCTGTTTGAGACCAAGAAGCTGCTCAAGTACATGAAGCACACAGTGGTCGTGTACTGGTAAGTGTGACACACATGGCCTGGCCTATGGGCACTGGAAAGGACACCTAGGGTAAGATGTACTTGGGAAGCATCCCTTTACGCTTTTCCCATGGGTGGCCAAGGCACAAAGTGAGCTGGGGTAGTGGTACCCAGGCTTACACAAACCAAACCAACTTTCATACCTGATCCCGATACACCTGGGGCAGGTATGAATTTCAGGGGAGGGTGGGGGTGTCCCAGGCTTCGATAGTGTTTGGGAAGGGCTCCCCCTGCTGGCTGCTGGAGACACTTCAGTTGCACTGTCTGGTTTTGTCTCTGGCCACCCTCATCCTAGAGCACTGCACAACTTCCCAAACACTCCATGTTTACAGCCTCATTCTGTCACTTTTCAGTATGAAGTACTCATGCCAAAGGGACACTTCTGAGTCAGAGAGGGAAAACGGAAGTGGAGGCAGTTACAAAATATGTTCATGACCATCCACTGGGAGCACTCATGAATAGAGAGCATAGTATATCCAAGATCACCCATTGGTGGTACCTGTGGGTAGAGAGCAGGATGTGTTGGAGATTACCCATTGGGAGCACTCAAGAATAGAGAGTAGAATATGTTGGAGATTACCCACTGGGAGCACTCATGAATAGAGAGCAGAATGTGTTGGAGATCACCCATTGGGAGCACTCAAGAATAGAGAGTAGAATATGTTGGAGATTACCCATTGGGAGCACTCAAGAATAGAGAGCAGAATGTGTTGGAGATCACCCACTGGGAGCACTCAAGAATAGAGAGTAGAATATGTTGGAGATTACCCACTGGGAGCACTCATGAATAGAGAGCAGAATGTGTTGGAGATCACCCGTTGAGAGCACCCGTGGGTAGAGAGCTGTGTGGATGTAGCAGAAGAATCTAAGGAAGGAGCTTTCTTCTCAGAATCCCCCAGGGCAGTAAGCAAATCAGTCCAGGTTTGGCAAACAGGAGAATTAAGCTGCGAAAGAAATGAGTCACAGTCCTTGCTGGTGAGAGAATAGACGAGGCTGCAGGGTGTCTCTGCTTCTCAGAAACTCCCCAGATGTCACAAGTGTAGCAGACACATAGGTGGGCCTTGGCTCTGCAGGTATTTTGGGCATAGGGTAGTTCTCAAGGGATCGATGTGTGGGAGGCTCCTAGTATACTGGAACACTGAGTGCCCTGAGCATCACCCTGTCCTTACCCAGATCTCTCATGGCTGTCACTCAGTGTGAATCCCTTGAGCCTCTCAGTTCCTCCACAGGGCTGTGCTTCCCCACATAAAACCTCAGTCTCTCCCTTGCTTGTTTTTTTGTGGTGATGAAGATAGAACCCAGGAGTGACTTCCAGGACAGCCAGGGCTACACACAGAAACCTTGTCTCAAAAAACCAAAAACCTGAAAACAAAAAAAAACTATATACGTAGGGATCAGAAAGGAGAAGGTTAGATTAGTTGCTTGTCACCAAAAGGATCTGTACCTTGTGAGCCAGCATGGAGCATTTTCTGAAGAATGATTGTACCTAAATGTGATCCTTAATGATTTTGAGAAAAATTGACTTGTAAAATGAGTAAAGAAGAACATAGCCATCAACAGAGTCCAGCATTTGCTGTCACAGCCCTAGGAAGGCTGTTGGTGCTGCCACCAGTACATCCGGGAGGCTCTCCGTTCTGTACCACACCTTTCAAACAGTGCAGTCCCAAACAACTGCCAGCCAGCTCCATTGTCTTGTAGATTCCTCAGCCACAGACATCCCTTGACTAAAGTTGGATGTCTTCTCTGCCCGCTACAGCCTCTATATAATAAGGTTAATTTTCACAGAAGAAGTGCTTATGTCTGGCTTTGTTCTGTTTCTCAAGTTGCAGACAAAGGCCTGAGTGGTAAAAATCTTCCCATTTTATAGCAGGGAAAACTCAGGCCAATGGACAGACAGAAAGACCTAGATGGTGGGAAATGGCTGCTTCAGCCCACTCCTCTCTTGCTCTTGTTGGGAGTCTGAGGTGGTTGATACGGCTGGAGTCCTGTTCTCCAGGACCTGTCTCAGCCTGGCAGCATGACTCTGTGGCTGCAGGCAGGAGAGGGAGTTTTCTAAGGGAAGATGCTGTCCTAGTCTGTGTCCCAGGCTAGCTCCCCACTTGTGAATCTTGCTGCAGAGAGGAAGGCTGGGGTCCACAGAACACTTTTGCCTTGTCCTTAGTGACCGAGACACACAGCTGGCACGGCTGATGAAGCGGAACAGCCTGAAGCGTGAGGACGCAGAGGCAAGGGTCAATGCCCAGCTGCCCCTGAAGGACAAGGCCCGGATGGCCAACCACGTTCTAGACAACTCGGGCGAGTGGAGCCTCACCAGACGCCAGGTCATCCTTCTGCATGCCAAGTTGGAACGATCCATGGAATACCTGCCACTGAGGCTCGGGTTCCTAACGGGCCTAGCAGGCATTGCCAGCCTCCTTTACCTGCTCACCCGTTACCTCCTCCCTTCTCCCTAGCTAGGTACACCAAGGCAGCAAGCCTTAGGCCTCCTCCTTAGAGACCTAAGTCAGGTACCATGTCCTCAACACTACACTCGCTCTGGAGTATATCCAGTCAGACTCAGAAAGCAAAAAGAAGCCCACTGTCGGGTACCCCTTCCTGCCCTCTCTAGAACCCCACCATCCCCTAGAACCCCCTCAGAACACTATCCACGATGGCAGAAAACAGCAGTCTCTGTGGCCCTCCCCATGGTTACAGTGATATAGCCAACAGTTTCTTGGGCTTGAGCCTTCTCGGAGCATCTGTCATATCATGGCCACAAACTCCCCAGTGAACCCCAGAAAATCCTTCGGACTGAAGGCCGTTTTCAAACAGAACTGTCTCCTGGGTTGAAGCCTTTTGCCAGGGTGCAGTGTGAATCCTTTCTGGGGGATGCCATGGCTAGGCCGTGGCAGGGCCCTTTGGAGAAATCAGCTTCTGATGGGGCTTTACTCACAACCTAGCCCACTCCACTGCCTCGGAGCCCCCCACTCTGTATTCCCCAGCCCCCCCCCCCATGCTATCTGACCTCTGTGCCTTCCCCAGATGCTCCCTGCCCTGCAGTACCTTACCCTGGCTGCCCCTGGGAAGGTGTCAGCAAGAAACTGACTTCTCCTAGACTGTATGCCTCTAGGTGGCAGGGCTGACTCATCTCGGCTCTAGTGCACTGCAGCCTGCTCTCCACTGGTGCTCAATAAACTGGATTGGTCTAAAATGTCCGCTAAATCCCACTTGGCCTCTGCTCATACTGAGGAGACCTACACAGAAGACTCCAGCCAGGTCTGCACCTCTGGGAGGTCTGTGGAGGTGCTGGGCAGATCACATCTTCTCACCCCACAGGTCTGTGTTTTCTTACCCAACCTAATTAGACCAGTACAGACATCGGCCTTCCCTGCCGGTGTCTGCAGACCTGCTGATGTGTGGATCTTGTTCCTAGCAGCCTATTAAGGCCAAAAATGAGTGTGACTAATGTGAGCTCGGCAGCAGCCATTTTTAATGTCCCCTTTCACAGAGCTGCTTAAACCTCAGAGAGCAGCTCATTAACTCCCTGCACATTTCCAAGCAGCAAAAGGGGGCTGCAAGGAGGTGGAGGAGGTAGCAGGAGCTGCCTGCTCCCTCAGTTGGGTCGGGTTTGGCAGAACCTGGCAAAGGGGAGAAACTGGACAGTTTTCCTGTAACCCAGTGACCCGGGAAACGATTATTGTTCCCTCTGGCATTCTGGACAGAGTGTGTACAGTAAGTACAAGTTACTGCAGAGCAATGCTGGGATTTGGTCTGGGTCACCAGTGCACACTCTGCCTGCCCCCCTCTCAGGAGGAGCAGCAGACCCAGTTCTGTCTCCTTGCCTTTCTGCGTGGTAAGTTGAGGACACTTAAAAACCCTTTGCAAATCGAGAACACTCAGTTACTTCTTTCTTGGTCCAGCACTCTAAATTTGATGCCAAGTGTGACCGAACATTGGTCTAGAAGGTGTGCAGAAGCCAGTACAGTTACGCACTGGCCCTGACAGCCGCCCTCCTCCCCAGCCTCCCTCCCTTCTGACCTACTGACCAAGGTGGCTTTGGAAAAAGGCTTGCTCTCCTGCTTGACTTCAGTGCCTGTCTAATTGGCACCTGGAACACTTCTGCTTCTCCAGAGCAGGTGACCTCCTCTGCGACCAGCAGGTGGCAGCACTCACCCAAGCAGGGATCTTAACTATCCCTCAGGATGGTAGACCACCTCAGCCACCTGATTCTCAGTAAGAAGACGCAGATGGGCCAGTGGTGGTGCACGCCTTTAGTCTCAGCACTTGGGAGGCAGAGGTAGGTGGATCTCTCTGAGTTCAAGGCCAGTTCCAGGACAGCCAGGACCATTACGCAGAGAAACCCTGTCTCAAAAAGAAAAAAACAAACAGAAAAAGAAAGAAGATGCAGATGGGATGGGATCTGGGCGAGGCAGTGCACGCCAGTAACCCCAGCACTGGAGAAGCTAAGGGGATGCTCGGGGTCAGACAGCAGTTTGAACTCCACAGATCCTACCTCTCCCCTCATTCTCCATCCTTGGGCCTCGGTTTTCAGCTTGGGTTCCCTAAGAGGGGCAATAGGATGCTGTGAGAACTAACTCCATGCTCACCTGTGTCTCTGCGAGGGGAGAAGGATGCAGCCAGTCCCCTAAAGCCCTTTTCCCTCCTGCTCCAAGTTGCCCAAGGTTAATTTACAGTTTTGCACTTTACAAAGCACAGTCTCCATTGTCTTCAAGTCTGCACACAGTGAGTGATGTGGGCAGAATTTTACAAAGGTTTCAGGGGTGGAGGTGGATGTGACTGCAGGCTGTGACCACCATTCTTCTGGATTCCCAGCAGTGTGCTGTGCCTCTTGTCAGTAACACCTTTATCCAACATTTACTGGCAACAGTTGCGTGGGGGAGGGATGGCGTCTTTCCTGAGTATTCCTCATTCTCCCAAAGGCACTTGAGCTCCAGGAGTGGATGGATGGTAGAAATGATCACAGGTGCGGGGTCACATGGATGGCCACTAGAGGCCTTGACGATGGCTAGAAGTAAAGGAGGTGATGAGATGTGGTGGGTTGCTTTCCTGCTCTGCTCAGAGAAGGGAGAACTTGGCTGATGGCTCCTACATTCTGAGCTAAAACAGCACCCAGCTGGGACCCAAAGCCTCCTCTCCTTACTCCCTACCACCTCCTCCCCTCCCTTCCCCATCGCTCAGATTCCAATACAATTTCCAACTAACCAGCATGTCGATAGAACAAGTCGGGCGGCCGGATTGCTGGCCAATTACAGGAAATCATTCTGCTCCACAGCTCAGCCCTGGGATGGGGGATGTGAGGGAGCAGGCTTCTGGCTTGCAGGCTGGGAAGAGCTGAAGGCAGGGAGCCTGCCGCAGCAGCACCCCCTTCCCCCCCTCCCTGGGCAGGCAGCATGGGGAGGCTCTTGGGGACACTTCAGCTCTGGGCTCTTCCTCAGCCTCACATAGAGCTTTGGATCCAGGTTGTTGGTGGGTTTTTTTGTGGGGAGATTGGAGCCCCAAGCTGTAGAGAAACTCAGAGGCTAACGGCCAGTGAGGATCATTCCCAGGTGAAGCTTGTGCTTCAAGGAGTTTGTCTAGAGAAGAAGAAGATAGAAAACCATGGATGAGACTATTCAACTCCAGAGGGAACTAGAGACTGGGGTGGGTGGCACCCAGGGGCCCCTACAAGACTTGCCTGAGGGCCTAGAAACTGAAGTTCTCACTGGCCAAACGAACCTGTACTCCCACAGCCAGCCCCAGCCAAGGAGCCCCAGGTTAAGGCTATCAGAACTCACTCCCTGGGGGAGCAGGGAAGGCGCGGAATATCCTGGCTTAGTCAATGGGATTCCAGTCCAGAAGGTGGACCGCAGGAGTGTGGGAGAGGGAGCCCTTCCTCACCACCTCAACCCCTCTGCCGGAGGTCCCGCCTCTGGCTCCTAGGAAAGGAGGACACCAAGAAGCCTTCACTCCTGCCAAGAACTGCGCCCACTTGGATGCCCCTTTTCATTCCCCATTCCTTCCCTCCGCAGTCCTCCAGAACCTATCCTAGCCACCCTTCAGCCTGCCCCTGCCTGCCACAGAGCCTCCGCCTCCCTCTCCCACCTGAGTACCCCTTTTCTACCACAGGACGTCTCCCCAAAAGGACTGGAAGATCCCAAGGGGCAAAAACTAGTCTGTAAACCCCAGTCTCCACTGACTAGCCATTTGTCTGGAACCCCAGGAGATCAGTGACAAGTGGTCCACGATCCAGCCTATTCTCCCTGCTATAGTTACTGCCCCGATTCCAAAACCTCTCCTGCTCCCCTCCAGGGATGGGCTTGGGACGGCTCGCCTACACTCAATGGTAGAAATGCTGGGCAGCCGCGGGCAGCGAAAATAAGCCCGAGACTGGAAGAAAATGCAGAGAAAACACAGTTGAGGCTGTGTTCAAAATTCCTCTGCTGAGATGCGTCCGGAAAGCAGGGTCAGCGCCCAGGGAGCCCTTCTTGTGTGTGACCATGGCTTGGTGCTCCTGGGCTCTAGTGACTCTGAAGTGCCCCCCCCCCTCCCCGCGTGCTGCCTCTCCTGGGCCGTGCGCCCAGTGCTCAGCGATCCGAAAGAGGGCGCCGGCTCTGCCCTCATAGGCGGTGCCTCCCGCCCCACCGTTAGGCGCTCAGCAGCCCGCAGGCTGGATGCCATCGATCTGGTCGCGGGGACCCTGGCGCGCTGCCTCCCCACACTTGCTTTTCGCTTTTAATTGAAGTTTGTTTGAGCAGAGCGCGGAGCAGGCAGAAGCAGAAACCAAATATTTAGTTGCTGCAAATTGGCACCTCCAGATCAATTACCCGGCCCGTGTCAGGGCCTGCGCCGCCCCCCCCCCCAGACTGGTGGAATCTCAATGCCGCGCTGCCCCGCGTGGGCTGCCCGCGCCGGCGGTCTCCATTCCACCGCACGTTTCTCATCAACTCCAACCATACATCACCCGTGGCCGCCAGGGAACATGTTTTCAATGGGAAAAGTTCCCTGAAAAAGTCCTCGTTGATTCTCACTGTGCCCTGTGCTGGTCTGGCCCCTGCTGCCACCTCTGCGTTTATGTAATGGGGATAACCTGGGGTCAGAGTTTCAAAGGACTTTGGGCCACAGGTACCTAGCCCCAATTCTAGCAAACGCACTTATCCGATGAATGACCTCAGGGAGTTTGTTTTCCCTGAGCCTGGGTTTCTCCGTGTGTGATTATGGGGCTTATCCTTCACCAAGTATGACGGTCAAACTGAGGTACAACGTCCTGCCTGGGGACAAGTGGTTCTGTACATGACACTCCGCTGCTGGGTTGGGGATGTAGCTCAGTAGAGTTGTTTCCCTAGCATATGTTAAGTCCCAGGTTCGATCCCCAGCAAAGCATACAACTAGTGGTTCTGGCCTGCAATCTTTACATGCAGGCCGGGGAATCAGAAGTTCAAGGTCATCCTCAGAAATAGTAAATTTGAGGTCAACTTGGAATAAATGAGACACTGTCTTGAAAATAATAAAGTCTACTGTTCTGTTTTGTGTGTGTGTGTGTGTGTGTGTGTGTGTGTGTGTGTGTGGGTGTGTGTGTGTGTATGTGTCTCTGTGTGTGTGTGTGTGTGTGTGTGTGTGTGTGTGTGTGTGTATAGGACTACTTGGCTGGTCAGGTCAGTTCTAGGACTCTGTCCTAGCCCAGGTGCCTCAGGACAGTCATTTAGGAGCTATTCTTTCAGGCCTGGAGGGGAGCCAAACAACAGCCTGGACCTCAAGGCTACCCAAAGGCAGGTAAGGGACCAGAGAGAATCTGGAGATGGTGGTCAGACACTCCTAGCCCAGCTTGCTATGGGCACCAGGGGGTCTGGAGGAATGGGGGATAGCTGGACTATGCACGAGCTTCTGCCTTTCCCTTCGGCAAGTTCCTAGACCTCAGTTTTCCCCCGAGTAAGATAGGGCCACCTCCCCACTCCCTTTGAGGAGAAAGGGTGAGCTTCTCCGCGGTGTGAGGAAGGGGCCTGAGCTATGCCAACTTTCCCTTCTTTCCTGTACTCACTGCTCCCATTCCCAGAGTCCCTTGGGAGAATTGCAGTCCAAGAGTTTGACATTTTTAAAGGCCACCACCATAGGCAGAGTGACAGGGGCTCTGGGTGGGATGAGCAGAGTGGGGGATGTCTGTAGCCCCAGCCTTCAGCTGGCCCTCCACACCACGTCTATAAGGCCTACTTGCCCCCTCTGTCCCTAGCCA